AGGATAACTTGTGAAGCTTTAGTGGGATATGATTGAAACTTGGTAGTTAGGACCCCCATGTGATTCTGAACCCAAATATGAAAGTTTGACCCCGGTTGACCCTTGGGCGACCTTAAATGGACCTTTGGGCGTTTTGACCCCAAAATTGCTCGGAAAACCCCAAAGTTAACACCAGAAAGTGGCGTATTCCCCAGCGCATCCCCTGGAAATGAGAATGGGCCACCTTTCCAAAATTGTGGGGAAAACTTATATGTTGAGAACTAGAGCAGATGCTGTTAGAGATACAGCTTTTACATTGCAACCTTGGAGTAGTAGAGTTAATTCAAAGTGGAGTTGGTAAACATTGGGTACAGTTCAGCTTGGCAAATTATGTACTAGGAGCAGTTCAACTAGACTAAGGAAAAGTAGTCCCTGAGGAAATTGATAGTAATAGGACCGCAGCATGAGAATTAAATCTTCTAAATAGTATGAACGGACGGGGAATTTACTTGGCTCCCATAGATGACTTTTTAGTTTAATTTGACCCATAATAGACAAACTACGTTCTCCTGATAGCTAGAAGGTCGGGATTGGAATAGAGTACAGATCGAATTTTTAGACGCTTGGAGTGAACTAGCTACCCATGAGAAAGGCCTCCCAAAACCCTCGGAGGTCGGAACGTTGACGGAATAATTAAAATAAAGACCTTAGGAGGGTCACTGAATAAAAATAGCATGGTTTGGATGTTGAGTTAGACTCGAGGGCTGAAGTCACGGAGGTCAGGAAATAATGAGTAGAATCGTATGAGATTTGATTGCTTGGTCAAATGGTGACACCTACCGCATACCGGGTATCTAATAAGCGTGAAAAGTTTGATAAACGAAAACGAAGTTGATACGTGGCAGAGTTGACAGTAGGAGGTCTATAGCCTTAAGCATGTGCGGACGAGTGATTTAAGCGGATGTCAGGACTGATAGGGAATGGCATGACTTAGCTAATTTAAGTGCAAAGAAAGATTAGGAATTGAGGGTACCGGAGAGATTGTAAGATTCAAAACAATTATTGCTAGCGAATCGAGTAGTTGGTTCTCAGAGTAAGAGAACAATTAATGAAAAATCCGTAGATAGTTGCTTCTCGTCAGAGCTTCTCTCGAGAGTGAGAATAGTTAGTGAATACTAGAATTAGTGGAAGTAAAAATACAAACAACTAATTGAGCTAAAAATTGCAGACCCATTTCCTTCGGTTAGACTGATAGAATATATCGTGGCCATTCAGAGCTTTCTGTAATTGGGCGTATAATCGTTTCAAGTAATTTACAATTGGTGATCATTACGATTGTAGTGACGAGACAGCCCTAAGAGCAATACACAGAAGATACAAGCAACAGAGAGCAGTACAGGATATTTGCCACCAAATATCCCTTTGGGGATTGTAGATTGTAGTGAATCTCGTTCACCCCGCTGAATTCACTTCCAAAGGGACAAATAAGGAGGAATCCCCTAAATCTACACGTGCGTTCACATTTCTTTGACCATTGATCAGTTGGTCATTTGCCTGCATGCCTGTGCACAAAGTACGTCATATTAAGCCGAGCAAAGGTATTAAACAAACAACTTTTTAACTCTGTTAGGAAACAGCTAGAGCAATTAAAGCAACCAATTAAAAAACGCACAAGAAAACCCGGGGACCAGCCTATTAGCATGTGTGTCGATTTGCACGCCCATGTATAAGAATGCAGTGGACTCAATCTTTAGTTCAAAATTTTTTAGTCTCAAATTTGCAAGCTAATTGCGTGCCTTTTGCCAATATTTGTTTAGGTGAAAATGAAATTTCATCTTCGTTTGCCTGATCAGATGATTTTCATATTAAATTTTTGAAATATTGAAAAATGGATAAAGATCGAGTCGAAGCAACTACCGCCCCCTAAAAACAGCACAGAAGCTCCTTGCTACGCCACATTAAATCCGAATAATAACTAATCCAATATTACGAAATCTGCACTAAAAAGACCAAAGACCGAATGAACAACCAACCAGCATTCAAAGATCAGTTGCACCGTTGTGTACGTGTCAATTTAATTTTTTTTTCTCGGCCAAATTGCGAGGATACTTTAGATTCATTTTTTTTCTGAAAACGATTTAAGATTGTGCAAAAGATTTACAAACAAGGTGCCATAAGGCTGCTTTAAAATCAATTTTTTTTGTTGGGTTACATCAATATACTCCAATATGATTGTAGTACAATATCCAAAGGAAATAAAAACAAATTTCCGAAACCTCAGCTAACAGACCCTTTGATTTTCCCGCTCTAAACCTGAGAAGGTATTATTAAGTTGCAAAAAAAGCGTGACTGGACATTCTTCTTGGTGTGTGAAGTTGAAGTCCCGTCCCATCGCTGTGCATATCTTCAAAAAAATGTAGGAAATTATCTCCAGTGGCGATTTTTTATATGAAAAACCCATCAAATGATTGTTGCTGGCACGTTTTTTTAAAAGTTGCATTAAAATCATCTAAGATTTTACAAAGATGCAATGGTAAAAAAGCTTGTTTTAAAAACCTATGCTTTTTATTTAATTTAATCATTATCCTACAATCATTTCATTATTATGAAAATGAAAATTTTTTAAACCTAAAATATTAGACAAAATCAACTTAGAGATAACTATAATTTAGGAAAGGTTTTGTTTTCGGTTAGTCGCAACGAATTTGGCTCGGCCATTACAAGTTTTCATATAACGGCTACAGAATGAAATGAATTCTACATCAATTTTTACATTGAAACTCCGCGCTTCACTTTGGTATCAACGCTTCTGTCAAAATTTTATTAATTTCATAGATAAGGCCCAGTCTTATAGCAATACCACCCATATTCGAAGAAAATTACGCAATATTTGGGGTCTGGTTGTTTTTTTCTCCAGACAAATATTAATCTTTTAAATAGCAATTTTTGACAGAAATTTACAATATCAATTCTAAATTAAAACAGAACAAAGTTTTCAAACAGATGATGCAGCAAAGACTCAGAAACAATAGCCCGGGTTGACCTCCATACACCGAAAATGCTTGTCATATAACTCCATACAACAAAAATCATTATCATACAAATCCATACAACAAGTAAATGGAGAAAATGCTTGTCATACAATTTTCATACATTTTCGAAAAAACAATAGAAAAAAATTAAACCATTTCTGCGGCTTTTTGAGAACAGTTCAACAGACTGGTGACAACAAAAAACTGATTTAAAATATTTTTTTGAAAAAAATTCTTTCCATACAATTTCCAATGGAAATTGTATGAGTGGCATTTTTTGATGGCGACACAAATATTTTTTTCAAGTAATTTTGAAAATTCGCCACAACAATTTTTTTTCGCCCATTAATCGTATTTTGTACTCAAACAAATCCGAAAATTTTATTTGCATGCAAAATTTAATTTTTTGTGTGCATAACGTAGTCCTGGATACGATAGTATTGCCTTTTTTATCTTTTCACCTAAAATTTTTTTTCAAAAACGCTGAAAATTTTTATTTTTTTGATGGCCTGTTTATGTATGCCTTGATCAATGTCTGATAATTTGAAAATTCAAAAATTTAAAATATTCTTCACTGAAAAATTTTGCCAAAAATTAAAAGTTTGTTACTTCTGTTATATCATTTGTGAAAGACATCAGGAAGACAATTCAGGTCGTTTGTTACGCATTGTAAATGTAAGGCCGTCTAACCTTTGGTGCTTTGAGTAACCAAGGTTTTTGTCACTTGTGTTCGGTTGCAAGCACACTCAAAATTTTTCAGAAAATAAATTTACGAACAAAAAAAGCATAAATTTTGGTTAACGAACAAAAAAAACATAAATTTTGGTTTATGGAGAAAATACCTACCATACAATTTCCATTCATGAGAAAATGCTTATCATAGAGTTTTCATACAATTTGCTGTACGTATGGAATTGTATGAAATTGTATGAAAAGAAATTTCCCATTTTTGGGAATTGTATGATAAGCACTTTTGGTCAACCCGGGCGGCTGGAACTGATTAAAAATTGATTTAGTTTGATACAAAAATGTAGCTTCAAAATCAATTTCAATCGATTCGGATTCTATTCAAGTTCTTTTTTTGGCTTTTTCACCATCACGAGAACTTTTCAAACAATAAACTTGATTTAAATTGATACTTAAAAATTTAAATTGTTTTATATATTCAAATGAAACTGATTGTTTGCAGACTATATTCAAATTTCCTCGACTATCAACCAATGGAAAAAATTGGAAATCGAAACATAACGTATGCTCTTCAATTCATTTTTAGTATTGATATTAGGCTCGAAAAGAAATTATGAGTATAACTAATATGTGAATTTACTGCATCGAAGACGAACTGCTTTAATTTGAGTTTTTGAATCGACCATCGAAATTGGGGAGCAACTCTGGATTCGGCAGGTATTTTAAATAATCATCTGAATTGACAGTGATATACCAAATACTTAATTTTACTTCAGAAATAACGTGTTTTGGTGGTTCCATTTAATTTTTTTGGCAGTAACTTTTTTGAATGCAAATATTTTTGTCTTTTTTGTTTGC